CATAAGGCTAAGGCCTCCAATGCAGCAATTGCTGTAGTTTCATTGAAGTCAATAGAATAATGACGCAATAAACGTCACTCATTATTCCCTACTTAAAGGATTTCTCAAGCTATGCGCGATATTTTACTCAACCTAATAAGCTAAACGAATTAAGATATAAGCCTCGAGTTAAAGCAAAGTTATGCATTTTGGGACGGAATTATTCATAATTTTGCATCAGGTTCGAGTTAATTCTGAAAATTTCACTAAAATAAAAGTCCGGGACATTTTGCTGACCGGGACGGGACACCGGGAAAGACGTTTAAACCGGGACTGTCCCGGCCAAACCGGGACATATGGTAGGTCTATTAAAATAACGGCGCTTATAAGTAGACTACATCAAATAATTTTTGCCATGTTATTCTTGTATAAATCACACTTATGTCTTATTTGAGAACTGGGAATAACACTATTTATTATTATGGTAACGATCATCCTAAATTTTATTTGACCTCAGTAATGTGACGGGTCATTTAATACTCTCCCAATTATGACTTCACACAGATGTCACCTTCCACGAACCCGCGTTTTTTCGTGTCCGTTGATTTGTGGAGCAGCAATGCCAATAGTACAATTATTGATTTCAAAGAAAAATGGCAGAAAACGAAAGAAAACCTACCATTTTCACGATGAATGTGAGGTGGATTTCTTTTTACCATCATGAAAACAGCTTGCCTCTGTCTCATTTGCGAGGCGATTATAGCGACGACAAAGCGAAGAGACATTTCACATCTTGTCACTATCCATTGGTCAGCGTAGTACGGACAGAAAAAGCTCGCCCATTATAACCAATAAATTACAATAACCCCCCCACCCCCCCCGCGAAAATATTCCGTGGAAATGACCCTAAAAACTTTCGGACATAAACTAAAACAACGCTTTTTTTATTTCGTCAAAAAGCATAACAGGTCGCTATTAAAAGGCAATGGTAACCTAAAATTTGCCGTTCATCTTGGCTACTTTAATTTTTTTCATACGTGCTTCCTCTTCCGCCCTTTTTCTGCGTTTCTGTGCACCACTGAGAAGTTTTGCTTTCGACATAATTCTGACAGACTTCGTAATTTTGCAGGTGCGATCAAACCACAAGACGCCGGAAATCGACGCCTCCCTGGCATTGTTACGTAACAAAACGATTTGAGCAGAACTAACATCCACGTTATAAGATGTGCATTACTGGTTTTGCACTGTAGCTTTTGGTTTGCGGCTTAAATTTCTAAAGTCTAACCGCTTGGGCCCCATTTGCACTTTGGGCCCTCCCGCTACCGCGGGGGTGGACGCTATGCCACTGGGTGGGCCAACAACAAACTTTCTCAACCTGCCAACCGAGAACATTGTTACATTACATCGAAATACGTCTGTGCGCAGTAAATCTATGCGTGTGCGCAGCCCCTGAAAGCTGTGTGCGCGCGCACACGCGAACACTTTAGAGCAGGGGTTCACGAGAAGATTTCCAGGGGTACTTGGATGACAGTCCAGTTTTTGTATGTTGCTGTTTTATAATATCCTTTATTACTAGGCTTACCATACGTCACGGTTTAGCCGGGACAGTCCCGGTTTTATCAAGCTGTCCCGGCGTCCCGGCCGGTAGACTCAAATGTCCCGGTTTGGCAGCTCGGCTGCCATGGGTAAAAGTTCATATTCAATATTATTATAATTTATTTTTATTGAAGACAGCCCACTTACCACCACTGATTTGCGACACACTTTACATGTTCAGAGAGAGAGAGAGAGAGAGAGAGAGAGAGAGAGAAATTTGTCTATTGTTATGTCACAGTTGTGATATGTTTTAATGCGTCACCTGACGTTAACTGCTCTGCCGTTAAGTTGTCGAAATGCCCAAAAGAAAGTGCAAATTTTCCAATGAGTTGAAGAGAGATTTTCCTTATTTGAAGCAAACTGAAGGAGGAAAAACACTTTGTACTCATTGCAGATCTGTTTTTTCTATTAGTCATGGCGGTCGTTCAGATGTCAACGATCATCTCCAAAGCAAGAAGCGCCAATCATTATCGGCTCGACTCACCAACTTCTTTGCAATAACAAATTCGAAAGATTCTTTGTTTTTGGCAGCCAAAAGGCCACAGTTGCCTATCATACTGCTGTTCATGGCCAAAGTTTTCACTGCACCTCCAACTTAATTTCAAATTTTTTTTAGCCTAAATTTGCATTAGCCAGAACTAAATGCGAGTCGGTGATTGTTAATTGCATTGCCCCACTGCTATCCTTTGAACTCGTATCAGTAACCATCGATGCATTAAGCAGAAAAGATTTATAGCTTGTTCCAGTTGTGGTTCGTTATTTTTTACCTGATGTTGGTGTGAAAAAAACTTTTAGAATTCAAATCTTTACCCGGGGAAACCGCCGAAACTTTTACTGAATACTTGCTCTCTGTTCTCGATCAAAAACATTTAAAAGGAAGAGTTGTTGGATTCTTTGCGGATAACTGCAACACCTACTTCGGAGGCGTAAAAAGACGCGGTACAAATATTGTTTATTTCAAACTAAAAGAAAGCACAAATTTTACATTTACACTGTCCGAGTAACAGAACTGAAATCATTCTGCGACTTTGTTGATATTGAATATCAACGGCTATTGCAGCATGGCAACACTCGGTTTCTCTCATTATTACCTGCTCTGCAGAGGATTACGGAAATTGAAGGCTTGAAAAGTTATTTCAATTCTCAAGAAGGATGCCCGACTCTTCTACAAAAATGTTTCGATCCAGCGTACGAACTTTACTTGAAATTTGTCCTTGGCCAGCTCACCTACTTCAAAATTGTTCTCATTTTGGAAAAAGATAATACTAATGCTGTAGATGTTGCAAATATTTTGCCTGAGTTGAAGCAAGAAAAAATGGAAAGTGTGTTTATTCCATCGCAAGCGATGGATAAAGAAATATTTATCCGAGAATAGATCAAATGCAATTTGGCTTACTTTGCCCGTTGAGGATAAGTTGATAGAAATGTTCAAGAATTTTTCAAGCAAAAATATTAGTATTTTGAATTCGCCGAAAATTATTGAATTTGTATTTTGTTTGCCTGAAACATCGGCATCTGATGAACGGCTTTTCTCAATTGTTAAAATTTTTTGGTCTGAAAGCAGGGGCGGAATGCTAGAAGAAAATATTAAAGCACTCGTCCCCTGCAAAATTAATGGGGATCTGCCATGCTATCAGTTTTATGACAAAATGAAATCGAACCAAGTATTTTTAAGAAGCGTTCTTTCTGCGGACAAATACTTTTGGTCTAAATAAATAATACAAACTAATTTTTTGTGTTTTCCTAATTTAAAGACCAGTAGAGATTAACAGCTGTATATACCCTCAATGGCATAGTAGAAGTTTTAATATTACTAAGATTGGCAATAGACTGAATGTTTTCCAAATCGCACCGTCCCGATTTTTTGTTTCAGATATATGGTAAGCCTATTTATTACTACCATGGAAAAATGCGTGCTCATTGAAACTAGACGCCAATCGAAACATAGATTTTCCCTGAACTTGCGTTGTTGTGATTGTGACGCAACAATGTGAAATTCAAAGCTTTGCGTACAAACTGAAATCTTTGAAGACAGTGTGCTGCGAGCATTTAAGAATTCATTAGTTAGGCAGACGATAAGAGCAATAATATCAATTAGACGATTTAATTTAGTTACATCTGGTCAATAAATTGGTGTTACAACAAATTGTTAGTCAATATATCAGTATATCACAACTTTGTCCGGTGTCTGAACCCCTGCTTTAGAGGGAACACTGTGTATGACACAGTTTTATTTTTAATTTCATTCATCCCAATATGCATACGGCATGGACGTTTATGTACTAAGTTGGGTTGTGATATTCCAGTTTTAATCTGGTCGTCACATTTATGTCCAAGTATCGCATATATTGTGTAGCGGAGATAACCCGCACGTCGTGTAGGAGAACGTGAGGCATGGGGCATAGTGATAAATCACCTCTCCCACTATATTCGGAATCAGACATGTATTCCGGTGAGATACGACGTTGCCAGAAATGGACAGCGGTCGTACTTAGCGACGTAATCTAGGAGGTGGAATTGGGTTGAGTACAATTTCGCCAGTTCAGTCTTTTCCTTTTTACATTGAAGATTATCCAACAGGCGAACCACTAAAACGCCCAATTTGAAAGCGAACATTTCGTTTTCGAATCGTTCGCACAGTCATTTAATTTAATGATCAATATATACTTCCTGAAATCAATTTAACAATCTCCTAATAATAAATAGGTCAACATATATGCAATCTTTTAAACACTTACTCGCAGATTGTTTTTCAGGCTACGTCACAATCATAGAATGACGTGAAATATATGAACAAGTTTCCAAAGACTAACGCTGATGAATCTTCCGTATTAACCTCAAAGGATCCTATGAAAAAAACATCCTCAATTCGTTTACCCTTGCTCCGTCCATTTATAACCAATAAATTACAATAACTACCTCAGTATCAATCCCCAAATTTAATTATATCCTACTTAAACTGTTACCAGTAGTATTTATTAATTGATGTAATCGGGACTACAATTTGGCAATATTTTGGCATGTCTTTGGTGAATGAAAAGGTTTAGCGTTTAGCCCACCTCTTCATGCACTCAACTTTTGTTGGGCAATTTGGCACTTGACTCCAATTATAATCAGCTTGGCGAAATCATTTTTTTTGCCCTTATATTGAATACTGTTCACTCTTGTGAACACGTACCACTTCTTTTTGGCAATACCTTCCATCTTACGTTTTAAACCTTATCCAAGGTTTTGTTTACTCTCCCGATTTCAAAATCAGTTTGTTTTTATCAGCCGTTTTATCGCCTTTCTGCTGATTATGGAGTCGAAATAAACTCATCTTATCTTATCTACTTGGTATGTGATATCTATTAATGTGTCACATCCCAGACCTAACAAGTTTTCAAATTGTATAACAAAATATCCACCGCCCTGGTGGAAAAGGATCAAAATAACGCATAATTTTATTTTATTCATCAGCGGGCGACATTCCAATTAAATAATTGCTGGCAACGAAAAAAATGCATTCATTCACCGATGATGACGAAAATTAATAATAATTACTGATTCATTAATTGATTAATACACAGGAATAACAAAACCGCATCAACCAATATTAGGCTGGATCGAGCCCACAAAATAAGAAATAATGCTACAATGTTTTCAGCAGTACTGTCAAAGCTCAATAAACATTAGTTAGCCAAAACGGGTTTTATTCACTCCATATTTGCCATTATCCAGCATGCTTTATCAGCTACAAATTCTGTTGGACCTTGTGTAGGAGCTTTTATACCTTAATATTGTCCACTCATGATGGAAAAGATAACAAATTATATAGAAAGCATGGATTTTTGACAAAACTTGACTTGTTTTAACATACAAATATTAGAAAGGGCAACTAGCTAATGTGATGCAATTCATTAGTGGTCAACTTTTCATATTTGATATTTATGATACAAATCATAAAAAATACTGGCAACATGAAAAGTCAAGATTACCAACACAAAAATATCCAATAATTCCATTACATAGATTGTTATTGAAATTTATGCAAATTTTACAATATTTTTTAACACTAAAAAGACAAAATAAAAATTTACCGATTGGCCATAAATAACCTAGTATAACATTAATACATTTCCTTTTTATGTTTCCATTAAATACACCAAACAGGTTTGTATGTCAATAACCTATTTTTACTTCTCCAAGTTATGATGGTATAAGGTGAATCTTTTACCAGATTTGACACAGGTAGTGAGTGGACTAATATATTCACATTTTCCATGACTATCATCAACTGACGTTTTCCCAGTGTTGAATAAAGGAGGTGGTTTCCATAATTTAAATCATTAAAATACCAAAAAGATATACAAAATCAAGATTCGGAAAATTTCCAATTTTTTAATAGGTGCATCATGCATCTAATACCCAGTAAAACAAATTGCCTTTTAATGAAGGCACCAATTGAGAAGCTACTGGCATATATTTGGTCAGGATATAAAAAAAACATCCATTTCCTCCCAAATGAATAAACATCCATTTGACATCTGACTACACAAAATATAACAAGAGATATCATACTAATATTCAAATTAACAGTATGTAAAAACCATGGTGAATGGAAGTAAAAACCATGGTGAATGGAATATTATAATTTTATGCAGCAAAACCATGATAATTTCTAAATATACCGTATATATTTTTTCGTAACTCCAAGCATTTCATGGAATTTGATAGAATTTACTTAAATTATGTAAATTTCTTTTCAAATGCTTTTGAACATTTTTCTACAAATATCACATTGGCGTGTTGAGCTTTTGTGTCTGTGCCATGAAAAATTAAATATTTCAGATAAAAGTTTGCAGCATAACAGTTTTATTAGTCTACAATTTGATAGTTACAAACGCTAGAGGATGCTATATATACTTTAATCCTATACTAGCAAAAATGAAAAGGATTATTATTATAATGAAAAGAACAAGAATTTAGTGATCTACTAGCAAAATGCAAACCGTGGATAATTCAATCTAAAAGATCAATAACAGCCATGCGTAGATCATAGATAAAATTGTACTGTATTAACAGGTTTTATCAATGACCATCACTGGCCATAAATAATCATTTTCGTCATAACTATCCATGGCTTGTTCTGTATATTGAAATTTTGTACGATATGCGATATGCGGGGAAACACAAAATAATAATAACAGTAATAATAAGAATATCAACAACAAGAATTGTAATAGGAAAAGTATAACAATGGTTGTACGAGAGCAAAGAAAATTGCTGACAACTTCTGAAGGATCGTGATCTGAAAAAGAGACAAAAAATTGGTTAAAATTCATATAAAAAATACGGTACTCCCGAAGTATGCGCACAGAGATATCGCACAACTTGAATCCTAACCTGGTACACAACCTGAGTTCAGGTTGTGCGCCATCTTGATGCGCATACTTCAGGAGGTCCAAAAATATAATTTAATTGGATGTTTGAAATGATGTACCTAATTAAAAATTTCTTGAATAAAAAGTAAAAATATAACTGAGGCAGCAATAAATTTTGCAGATAAAATAACACCTATTTTTATTATAGAATTTCAGGATATTCTATTCGTTACTAATATCAATATGGAAGTGATAATTTCAAGTTTCGTGTGAACAGCTGCAGAGTGAGCTGGTGACTTACGCCAAAGCAAAGGCTTAACTTAATTGAAGCTTGTTAAAATTTTATTTGATGACAATGATATTACATTATATCATCACCATGATGATTATAGTTGATAGCATAAGCACTTAAGCAAATAAATGAAAATAATATATATAATCATAATTTTTAACAAGTAAAATATATAAAAATTTACATGACACATCATGCAATTGTGAAAAAATCATTTGCAAAGCCATGTCAACCTCGCATAAACTAGTAAAAGGGTTGGTGCATGGTTGGTGGTTCTCAGGAAATGGTTATGGGTGTTCCACGAGGTCCTTTTTATAGAATTAGTAGACGACTAAACAACAAATTTGGGTTCAAGTACAGCTTCTGCAGTTGTGAAGTTCCTGGAATCCCGTTTGTATCAGATGGAGCAAAAATTCAGCGAATAAGTTATCTTACACCCCTCAAATAAAGCATTTCTTGTCAAAGGCTTGACTCAAAAGGATGACATCGATATGTGGATGAGATAGATAAACTTCATGGCAAAGATGTTCCAACAAAACAAAGGCTTCGTGTCCAATTTTCAAAAATAAGATCAAATTTTAGAATGTAGAAAGAAGAAAACAAGTTTTATTAGTTTCAGGGATGAAACTAATAATAACAATGGTTTGAAAAGATTAGACCCTTCATCTCTAAATAACAATTAATCGTGGATGGGCCAAAGAAATACACGACAAAATGAAACAAGTATAGGAATGAAAACTAGTAGCTGCCGATGAAGAGTACTGGTCATAAATATATAGATTTTGTGGCATAATTGAAACTGCGATTGGAACACATTAGGGAGAATAAGAACAAAATCTTCAAATTTTTATAAAGTCCAGAGTGGGGTCCTGGAAAAATCAGTAATCATCATGGTATAGTAGTTTTGATTAGTAGAAAACGAAAACAAAATAATTAGAAATTGAAAGTAGTAAACAAAATAAGTAACCATGTGGCAATGGCTATTATTTGCAAAGCGGCTTGAATATGTTTTTTTCTTATCCCAACAAATGTTCTACAACACATAATCATTGTCATGCATTAAAAGTATTGCGTAATATGTTCCTTTAAGGTTTCCATTGTTTCATGTTCCATGATAATACAGAACATAAGATTAGTTTATTACGGCCAAACCTTATAAAGTAAAGAAAATATATTAGCAAGTAATATATACTTCTTACTCACTCGATCAGTGGGCTACAAGATAATAGAATGTGTATCGATCAACCCATTAGGTGATATATATCTAACCACAGTTAAAAAAGCCACCATATATGACGGAGGTTAATGAAATGTCACCTTGCTAAACAAAAAGACAAACAAAGCTATTAGTTATGACTCAAAATTTCATTTTGCAATAATAATCATAGGTGCAATACAAAAATCTGATTGGAAAGAAACAAAAAATAAATAAGCGAGCATTTATAATCAGCTGCGAGTAGGGAGACACGAACCGATTATAGGTAATAATCAAAGCTGAAACAAAAAGTAGAAGATGCAGTGCGCCGCATGTGCCAAAGGCACTCTACGACAAACTTAGGAGTTACAGACATTACTTCCATGCGGTACTCGAAACTCACCAAAAGGGACACGTACAACCCGCTCTGGAAACTTTTTTGTTGACATTGATGAAATATTTTTAAATTGAAAAATTAATGTTCGTTGTTGTTGGGAGTAATTGAGAGAAAGTTGGTTACTGGGGTGCCAGTGAGTTTGTAACGATTATAGTAAGACACAATTCGAGCAGATGCCTTCCTGTGGGGGCTGAGCCGGGTTGCTTGCATTTATTTGTCGGACCAGTTCGAAAAAGACCTGAAAATGCAAATTTGTTCAATATATACAAATATATATTATCATTTTTATTCATGGTGTCATGGCTTTGCAAAGATGACTCAGCACAATTGCATGATGTTTTCAGTGCCGCAGTTTGTGGAAGTCACTTACCAAAAATTGCATTTTCCTGTGGCTTTTCTCTCGTCAACCAGAGTCATGCCCGCAAAATAGGGTATTTAATTAGTCGCAACGAAAACAACAATAAAAGTAAGGTTATCATCAATTGTCATTATTAATAAGAAGAAAAAACATCAGGGGATTGATAAAATAATCAAGCATTTCAAAAAAAATTTTTTGCTAAATCATTATACATAGCGTAAGCTACAAAAGGAAGGAGTACGCTGTTGCTATGTGGTCCATGATTGTCAACGAACAATACATAGATGGGTATGGCACTGATGAATAGGTATCTATCAAATCATACAGTCTGTCAATATAAGGATTTATAAACGATGTAACAAAGATTAATTTTCCCTACAGTTTTCATAAGATTTTCATGATAATGCTGCATATATAGATATTACTTTGCCAAAAAAGTACTTTCTGCCGGAAAATCAGTTTGCATTTAAATTTCTTTGTTTCAATTTTATATTTCTGTCGACTGAAACTATAAAATGTAAAGAATACTTTTTGGCAGCTAATATCAAAATATAAATTTTATTTAGTTTGAAATTAGAATCCACGTGTTGTGCCATGCATGATCAGATAGAAAAACATAATGCAATAATTTAAAAAAGTTCTATTCATTATTAGATGATGGGATTGTTGAAATTTTTCTATTTCAATATTATTAATGTTTTTAATAACAAGAATATTAATAAAAAGGAGTCTTTTTCTATATTTGGGAAGGGTGACATAAATGAAAGGCGTGGAGTGAGTAGGTTTGAGGGTGCAATGTCGCAACAGTTATAAGATGGCGCAACCCCCTTTGCTTTTCCTTTTTTTCTTCTTTGGCTCGGGACTCTTGGAATTAATTTGCCTGACGAGATCAAAGAATATCTGCCGAAGGAAACGGAAAGTGGATTTGAAAATATAAAAAGAGTTACATTGCTTTGACTGCAATTAAGATAGCTAACTGAATTGTGGATAAATTCCAGTTACTTTTACTTAGTTTTTAACAGAGGATAAAACAAAACAACATCGTCCTGACAAATACAGCCAATATAATAATAATACCTATATTAAATAATCTTATGATGAGTAAGCGCAGTCAGGACAAAAAGCTGAAAGGTTGGTAATACGTCAACAGAACCTTTTAAAAGAGTATCGCCGCCTACCATATCCGCTCTAGTAGGCAACGTTCCAAAGGAAATGCCTTTTGTGCATTACAAGGCACACTGTGAAAGTATACTATTATTTTGCCCATAAACAGCAAAACACTTTCATACGTTAGTTGTGTTCAATCAGTAATAACCTATTAGCGCGAGATATGATTAAGTGTGTTTTCACGAGTGGTATAAATTACGAAAAGATAACCTTAGTTTCTACTACGACTGAAAAGACGCTTCGCCATGACTTCGTCTCTGGCGCGCTTTCCGCGAACGTTGGCGTTATAAGAGCAGGTGTGACCTCACTTTTGACCCGGTGACGTAATTAACGAGTTTCGCGAATGTATATTGCGTCTTGCTCTCGGCTATATTTTTGTTACTAACAATTTGATGACCGTATATAATGCGGTACATACTGCGAAACAGTTAAATCAGTAGTCGACATAGGAAAGTTTGAATGGCATTCCAATTCAAACAAATTATTTATTGCAATTAAAGCTCACTTGATAGATTAATATCTGTAACGCCGTTGGCCTGAGGTATGAAGCGAATTTGGGGTGCATTACGAAGTATTTTCAATTGGCTGGAATGCGTTACATTCGGCACTTACAAACTAATAGGATCGGTGTTTATATTATAGAATATTGAAGCCTGACTTAGCATGTATAATCGGGCATGGTATAAAGCGCAGGTGGGCATAATTTAAACGTTAACCACGAACGATCTTAATCTAGAAAGTGATTTACTGTAGCTCCAATAATCTTCGATTAATAAAAGCAATCGAATATGGAAACGGAAACGAAAATGACGTGTCCTCCTTCGACGAAATCATAGGCGAGGAAAATCTACCTCTAACGAAAACAAGGAAATGTCGATACCATATCCTTCCTTCGTTTGAAATGACAACGTTAAATCAGGAACACACACTACTATACTATACCAATGAAGAATTGCGCAATTGCTTTGCGTCAAATCAGGGTTGCGTCGCTACCACGCACGCACGCACGCATGACGTATTCACGTGCATGGGCGGATATTGTAGCTGTACTTCAGATTATTGAAGCGATGTGTAATGTGTATGAGAAAAATTACGCTTGGTCGCTTTCGGCTCACCGATGAAATTTCCACTTATGTAAGGGCGAGTTTATAAATTCCGAAATGCAGGATAATTCAGTTATTGGAATTTCCCCGATTTAAAAAATCTCATTCTTTGCTAATATGACAGCCAACGGGTACAAAATAAAAGAATGTAGCACGTAATTTCCAACCGCGCAGTAACCTATTCGAACATATCACAAACATTTTTCAATCGCAGCGTATAAATTTTGATTTATCATTATGGAATTCTGATACAATTAAGGTTATACAATTTATTACCAAGTTATAAAACTGCTGTGAATAATGGAGACGTGCACCCATAACTATATTCATTTTAGGAATTCAGCTCAATAGCGGGTATAGTATTAAGAAGGACCATACTAATAACCAATCTCGCCAAGATCACAGACCGCCGTTACCTCACAGCACATGCTTTTATGTCGATCAGTAATCAATAACTGGGCCAACTTCTTTCAAATTGGCAGAGTATGGATTGTCGTCCAAATCACCGTTTCGTCACTTCCGGTTCAAAGTTTGTGGCAGCGTCGTCACGCTCGACCAAATATGAGTTAATGGTAATTTGAAACCATATATAATTGCCAAATATGGATAACCTACTCTTCATGGAATATTCGAGCTTGAATACTGTGAAACAACGTAATAATTCAAAAATAAGTAAGCCCGAATTCCAAAATTTGCTTGCAACATTTAGAAAATCAGGTTTGGCAAATAGTAACAATTGTTCAACTAATAGAGGCATTATGTCTGAGTCAAATTTAAGGTGTGCAGTGTGTGACTAAGGTACAATGCTGGTATTTAAATAACTATATCTTAGCTAGCACTTTCGTTCACCATTTGGAAAAGGAATGTTCGGCCTTGATGATGAACAAGTAAGCGAAGTTAGTAAGGGAAACTATGATAAAATAATTGAAATATATTCACAACAGGCATTGAACGCCAATGACGTAGAAGCGATTGCGTTAAGATAGTTTTGAATTGGACAACGAGGCGCGAAATTCCTTACATGGAAAATAACACTTCTAAACGAATAGGCTCGTCAGCATAAAACGTAAAATATGAAACGAATGCGTTACATACATAATAAAGAAATTTAGCGGGACCGATAGGTAGCCCATTAGTCGTGATAAATGTTACGTCATAAAAGTGATATACAATCACCAATTTTCGCATTCGGATCACTCATAATAACAGTTGGCTGCTATACACGAGTGAGAGTTTTTGCGAAAAATAAATTCCTGATTACATTTCTAAAACTTACATATACTCAGAAACCCGAATGTATGTAACAACAATAGAAGTACGAAAATCACCTATTGTGGTAAATGTTAATATTGCAAAATAGAGGGTGCCGATATAAGCAAATTTATATAGGCAAACAAAGTCAAGTTCCCCAAACGCACATCATAAATTTGTGTACGGATAAGGTAATTTGGCAAGAAATTCTGAATCTCGTCGGATTATAGCATTACAATTATCGGGAATATTAACTGCAGACAATATATATCGAAAAAGGAGTTTTAAATTTCTTTAAATTTGTACCAAATGTTTGAGATCGCGACAAAGTCATGTTACTAGAACTGAATTCAAATGTGATCAGAAACACTTAGGATAGTCATTACTTCAGTACCAAATTACGAAATTCTATACGTACACGTAATGGGAAAAACCTAATCGATACCGAATAGCAGATCCAGTACACACATTATCCATGCTATCTCGGAGTGACGTTAAAATAAACTTTCCCGATTGTTCCTTCGTAGGCTTCTCATTTATAAATTAAAAATGAGTTTGAACAAAAATGACAAGTTGATGTTTAATTCAACTGTTTAAGAAGGCGAACATTTTGACACAACGCAGTGTTATTAGTAGGGCATGCTTATGCTTGGCTATGCTCTGCATATAGTTTCCGTCCTCAACAATTTATTATTTAGCTAGACGCGGTAGTCGATTACGTTAGTGCATATGACGTCATCGAATATACTGAATTGTGCCAATATCCCTAGTTCCTTCCTGTATGTACCAGCTAGAAGGGCGAATAGGGTCGAAGTATGAGAAAGTACAACAACGCGCCGAGTTTAAACAATTATTTTATCGCAAGGATTGAATTACCTCATTCACGTTGATTTTTTGTTTTGCAGATGTCTCCAAGAAGCAGCTGTAAAAAAATAAGAAGAACGATTGTGAAAATAATGCCATCTAATTGTATATTACATATACACACACACATTCTGGTATTATTTACCAGTTTAGGGAGCGTCATACTGAAAAATAAAGAAAATGTAATCAACTATTAAGACAATGTATATGTTGTATTCAAAATAGGGGTAAACACACACAAATTCAATAAAACTGGTGTAACTCAAGTTTACGCAACAAAGGGACACAATCTTAGATTCATCAAACAAACATTTTTGAAAATGCATATTAGGGCGCTCTAGAAGTATGTGTACCAATATGGAGGGAACGAATTTTGTTCGCCTATTTTACAGCAAGTTGTGTAAAGGGAGTGAAACCTATGGACAGGGGGATATTCACTTGGCTAACACAGACAGTCCAGAACTAAAATACCGAGAATCAGAATAAAATTATGGCCTAATCCTAACCTAGTCCACATACTTCGGGAGTACCCATATTAGTACATGCATTACAAACTACATACCGGAAATGTCCCAATTAATTAACTGCCATCACGTTGACCACATATCTCTTGATAATGCTACATACAACGTCTTGATTAATAAATAAGTATGGTAGTAAACCAATCACAATTAAAAAATTTGTAAAAATTACTTTTCCATAACGACCTCAATTCAAACTAATAGAATTAGGAAGCGGAATTAAACTAATAAACATGGTTTGGCAGAATAGTTAATTAAAAATAATCCATCTTTGAGGGAAGTTATCAAGTCGGATTATTCAAACTAGGCTAAACGAAAGCATATTTCAGAGTAAAGTACCATATCTGAAATAATGATGAGATAAAAACGCTGGCCGCTACAATAAAAATTGAACAGTATGCTGCAATACACATGCTCAAGTAGTCTATTGTTAGCCCTCTCAGCCATGACATTAACATAAATAAATTGAATTTTATGTCTCCATTTGCGGATTTGAAAGGCGTGTTTACCTTATACTTTGTTAAGTTGGGGTGTTAAATAAAGTGGTGCATGCCACAATAAATAGATATTGCATAAGAAACAGAATGTTGTCTGCTCAGTTGAGTGACATTGAAAAACAAATGGGTTGGTCGTTTTATGAACAGGATATGGCCAGAGAATCTCATACATGGATAAGAAAGATGAACTCATATAATAGAACAGCATTATCATAATTTTAAATTTTCATCAACCCTCCTATGAAAATTCAGCTACAATTATGTGAGAGCTACCTAGGTAATTGAAGATATGAATATTTGGATCTTTCTTTTTGACATAAACTATGAGTATTACACATCTAATATTTGCAATCATAATCCCTAAAACTCAAATGTTGGATTAAACTTACCGGTAAATACTTTATTTCAACTAATTTACAATTATGCTAGATTTTTCACATGGGACATTTAAGACATCTTAAACCAGAAAAACCATAGAGGTAAATTGTTGAAAATCATTTAAATAAAATAAGATGCAGTGAACGTGTATTTCTTTTCCTCTTTTAATTTATAAACTTGACTTTTGCTGGATCATATGGCAGACTAATAAACTTGGTTTGGCCATGAAAAACTCAGACAATAATTCCTAGCATTGTATTAATAATACATGTCACCTCGCAATGTCTTGAAAGGCATTCCAATGAAACAGATAACATAATAAGTCAACTCAAAATACTTGCCAAGGGGACACTTTACGGATATCTTATTGTAATAAAATAATAATATTTATCTTCAAGTCAAGCAGCAGCATCGTAGATGGACAAGTGATAGGTTTGCCCAGTAAATTTAGAATAAAATTTTTTTTTAAAATAACAGCATTTCAAGTTATACAACAATCCAAATTAAATTACTACTTCGTAACTACCCCCTATTCAGTCAAATTAGATTGGCCAACCCCAAGGTGCCCAGAAAAGTTCAGGAGTCAGGACGTCCAATTCTTTTTATATCTCAATAATGTCTGAGAAGCAAAATTACATAGATTAAATTTAGAAGTGCGATAATTTGAGAACAAAACTATTTTTGGTTGATAAATTTGAAATTTCTTGTTCAATTGTTTGAAAATCTGGAATTATTCATATATAATTGATGACATTTCCAAGTATTGGGATTGGCATCCATGATGTTTGTGGTACTGGTACCTAACTAATAAAAAAAGATTGAGAAATATAACAGTACGTTGCAGTTAACCGATTCCACCGATTATCAAGCCAAGATAACATATACAGGGTGATCAGACCAATTGTGAACAAATGTTTATTGAAATATCTACAATATAAATAGAAGGAAGAAAAAAATTAATTTCCAGAAAATAGCAGTATAAAGATAAATATTAGAATTTATTGTTGTTTTTCGATCTATCCTTCCTTTGCCTTCACTACACGCCTCAACCTGATTGGAACTTGACTGCACAAGTCATGTATGGTTTCTACTGAAATTTTGTCCCAACAAGTCATCAATCTATGCCTTAAAGCGGTTGTTATCAACCTGAGTTACGCGCACCACTAGTGATATGCGGGAGCTTTTCAAGTGGTACGAAAGCAGCTTCTAATTATTGCAACAATTAACTTATGTATTCGCTAAACAGCGATTATACCGCGCTACCAGTTCTTGTCTTTTGGAGATAGCTCTCGCCCAATACTGTCCACCTAAAACAAAACGGGCATGTATTTGCCATTTTGCGCATTACTTCTCAATACATCTTATCAAAACCACTAAATTATCTGAAACTTAGGACGAATAAACTTTGACCAGTGCTAGCCACTATCACGAACGCTCCCTTATTTGCCTATTTATTAATGCAGACGCATTGTGACGTAACATGCAAAAAGGCGAAAACATGCCCATTCCGTTTTTGGTGGACAGTAACGGCGAGGGCGATCTCTAGAGACAAGGATTGGTAACGCTATAAACGCTGTTCATCGAATGCAAGTTATTTGTTGCAATAATTCAAAGCTGCTTTTGTAGCACTAGTGGCGCGTACCTCAGGTTGTAAACAACTGCTCTAAGTCATAAAAAGATGACTTGTTAGGATAAAATTTCAGAAGAAACCATACTTGCCTCGTGCAGTCAAGTTCCAAACAGATCGAGGCATGTGGTGAAGGCAAAGGGAGGATAGATCGAAAAAAACAATGAATTCTATTATTTATGTCTATACTGCTATTTTCTGCAAAATATTTTTTCTCTCTCTTACATGCATATTGTAGATATTTTAATTATCGTAAACATTTGTCTACACTTGGTCTCATCACCCTGTAGAAGGTTCCACTTAGTATAAGTTTGATGCAAGTTATAAGACAAAGCAAACTTTGGATTTAAACCTGATGATGGCTTGAGAAGGAAATACAGCCGATTCAACATACAACAAATGCCCAAAACGGATAATACATTAATACTTGGCTATATCTAAGATGCCACCACTGTTATATTCAAATGTGATCAGGCTTGGGAGGGCAAATTGTAGCCCATGCTAGGGGAGGTATCTATGAACTGATTCCTCAAATTTGCAGTATCGAATTATACCGGCAAGCATTTGGAGAAAGTATTACTAATGGTAACCTGATATAGTAATAAGACACCCAAGCCAAAATAGATCAGAATTTCAGTCTACTGTCTAGATCCGGTTAATGCTACATTTACCTTACTGATGGGAAACTGATGACTCATATTATGCGAGTGACTCGACATGTGAAGATGTGAAATCAGTTAGCTTTGCACCAGAGATGGTGGGTATTAAATAAGTTAGAATTTAGAAACATAAATCCAATATTCCGGCTGATTTTTTTTATTCAGTGAAGCAATCTGGAAACTGATACACTGCTAATATAACTGTTGATTTCATAGGCAATATTCAATATTAATCTAAGAATCCAAGACATTATCAAACCTAATAATAACAAAACCGAAGTCAATTTTTACCATCACTTAAGTTGTTATCAAGAGGATGATTGGAAGGGGTTATATAACCACCTGATTGAGGCTTATAAAACTAGTGAAATAAAACTATAAATACTTCAAAGTGACAGTAAATAATATTTATTTCCATGTATAAGAGATAACCTTGCATATCTTGACAATATCAAGTTGAACATAGTTAATAAAGATCGTGGCTGTAAATGTGAAACAATATTTCGCCAGACATGCAACACATAGTACAACATGTATGTAGTTCTAGTGCCCACAGAACTATAATCCGAGAAGCCAAAACATAATTAGAAAGCCTACAGGTCAAATTAAATTTCAATGGCGATTTTTTTGTGATAAACCAAACGAAAGTGATGTTACAAGATATGCCACATCTAGTTAATCAATTTCTTTTTGATTCAATAACCTAGATTTGACCTTAGTTAAATGATCAACTACTAAAACAAATATATAAGATTGGATGATAATTTGTAAGACAGCAAGTGTTGTATATTATTAAGAATGGTCACTGTACCATGTAACTAGGATCATTCACTTCCATCTACAAATAGTCATAATTAATCAAATTCCAGACACTTTCCTAATCTGTCATACTTTGACAGCTCAATATTGATTGGTCCAAATTAAGGAAGTGGTAAACATTACTAAATTAAGCACAACTTTATTAAGAGAATAAAACTACATTGATTTATTGATCAAAGAATGGGATCATCAACTGGCACTGCACCAAGATATAAAACAATCTACCTAGTAGCATATTACCAATTCCTGTATATTTCAAATATACAATGATATTTACAATTTCAAAATACAATAATGACAGTATCCCAAAGTATGTGTACCAGGTCAGGATTGGGCCATAATTTTATTCCAAATATTCTCATTTTAGTTCTATTACGAGTTCGGGGACTGTCTGTGTTAGCCAAGTGAATATACCTCTGGCCCATAGGCTTTCCCCGCTTTAAACAACTTGATGTGAAGTAGGCGAACAAAATTATTTACATCCATATTGGTACACATACTTCTGGCCTAATATAATCGTACATACCAATTATTCCACTGCCTTGCCAAATGAGCACCTTGATCTTTTCCAACCACCCTTTCATCCTCCAAATCACATTTGTTTCCGACAAGAACCATAGGTACCTGAATATCAAATAATGAAGATAATAATTAGAGTTGGCAGTGTTGTATGGTTGCACAGTCATTGGCAACAACTCAACATCCAACTAAACTTTGAATTTTGAGTTTTCGTATCAATCGTACACCAATAATTATTTATTTCCAATTCTGTGAACAAGTTCCCTAAACAAGGGCCAAATTTAAGAAATAGCAATGATGTGTATTATCAGCTAGACGTAACTCCATGGATGAATGATTCTGTTTCTATATTGCGATATACTGTCATGAACAAGGAAAAAGGAAATTCAAGTCAGTCAGCAATCCGAGGTCAGATTACTGACAAACTGCCAGATGAAAACGACACAAGACAGTAACCTAACCTCACCAGAAATATCAAACTATCAACTTGCCAAGAAAAATACTTAATTGCTCCCTCGAGTATAAAAACGTTAAACATGATCCTCAATATTACAAAGAAAATGAAAGCGCAGAAGGTCTCTAGAGATGAGGCAAAATATGAAGTAGACATTGGTATTGTAGTAGTATTGTTAGAGTCATGATATCGATATGTATATTTTGGAAACCGTTCATAACTTTGAATCTATCAATGTGAGGTTACTGGCCTAGCACAGATAGTTATGATAACACCTGGTATTGTACTGAAACTTTCAATGTTATTTTAGTAATATTGACTAATATTTGGGACTACCTGTACACAATCAATATGAGTTAAACACAACAAAAGAAGTTGAATTTTAAAAGAAGTAGAAGAGTCTTCCAACAGATGATAAAAGTTGGCAATCTAAACTAGAGATTATTTTTCCTTAATTAATAGCCATTGTTTTTGCTATAATATGGAAAAATCTATAACTCTTTTCTCCTATTTCCGTGAGATTCGATTCCTAATCTTCTCAATGCGTAAATTAGTGAAAACAAACCAAAAGCCATTGATATGAAACATAGCAAAAAAAAATTTATAATTAGGAATTACGGTGGGTAAAATTCTTTGATAATTTTCAACTTACGTCATCTGTATCTTTAACTCTTAGAATTTGTTCCCTTAAATCCTGTAAGTCATTGTATGATGACTGTGATGTGATACTGTATACAAGAACAAAACCTTGCCCATTTTTCATGTACAAATCCCTCATGGCTGTGAATTGTTCCTTTGAAATGAAATATGATACATGTTATATAAATACAACATTTACAAGATGAAATTGAAATAAAATATGAAGGCAGATGTTCCGATTTGCTAACAACTAAGGTAAGGTCTCTGTCTAAGAAATCAACCAGATTCCATTGATTGCTTGCTCTAAAACAGAAAACACAGGGATATAAATACCATAATGTTTTACCACTATATTTCCACTGAAATAAACATTTTTTAAGCTGCAGTCCATTGAAAAACAACTTCACCATTTTACTATGATTTTAATTAAAGAGTATTATTAGGACACAAAATGAAGTGGTCGCAACACAATTTGTGAAATCAAACCAAAAGTGGAGTATAATCTAATATCACAAGAAGACTATATTATAAACTCAAAAATACAATTTTGTAGATAAAAATTCAAAACCATAGGCTAGAAATGAAAAATTTTATGTAATAAAAATTCCACATTAATTTGCATTTACCAATTATGTTCAAACATTGAGAACAGGATAAAAATACAGATGCCATTGTTTTGTAAAATCAGTAGATTCGTTATGAAAAATTGGGATAAATGAAAACAACCACCTCACTTTTTATTTAACGAATCAACGTACTAACACAGAAGCTGTAATCATCTTTCGAGATATATAGTATATAATTATTCAAATGTCATTGTACCGGTATTACTGGCAACAAGATTTATCTGCGTCATAGCAGAAATCAATATTAAATAGATGAATGGTTTAAAGTTTTTAAATTTCTTAAAATGGAAACATCGCTACGACATTATCGAGGCTTGTTCCATGCTTGATATAGATAAAATGTGACAAACTTAAATGGACTTATATGTAGTTTTCATATCAAAGTGCCTTTATTAAGTTTCCCTTTCTTGTCTGGTAGACAGCTCTGACTGAAATCATCTTGAGGCAATTTCTATAAATAAACTGCTTGAATGGTATGAATGAAATCATACACAAATCATATTGTGTCTGCCCCATGCAAGGTGCTTACGTCATTTCAAATTAGAAGGATTGGGATTGTTAATAAAAATTTGAAAAACCTAACACAAAACTCTGATGATTCATAATGGTCAATTTGTTAGCACCGATCCTTAATAAAAATCTTCAAATATTATGTACGTAGTGTGTATATGGTGTTTTCTGATTTGACCAATCAAAAACTTCCTCTTACAAATATCACCAAACTCAGTAACTTTGTTGCAAGTGTATATAAATAAATTGCTAGACATTTGAAAAAAATTTGTTTTTAAAAATGATTTCAGATAACAATCATGTGAAAATGAGAGAATTATATGCTTTAATTAAAACATAAAATCGTTGATAATGCTGTACCACTAGACTAGCCCTGATACTACTAGATGTCGGTGCTAATATACTGATATATTTCGCAACAGTGCTGAATTAAAATATCAAATTTGATGAGTTTTAACATTACATAAACGATTGAATATGCCTACTAGGTGACAACAGTTCACACTCCATTTTGGGTCATAAATAAAATTACATCATATTGAATTGACAAGGAAAAATGCATATGTATGTAATCAAAACTTATTCGTCTTCTAAACTAAGAGGCACAGCAATGCGAAAGCTTGGCTTGTTTGACTGCTGATAAAACAATAAGGAACAAAATTCTTATGAAATCTACTCCGAAAGAATTTGTATAACCTAATAAAATGTGTTTGAATGTAAGAGGATATTTATTAAATTTCACCAGGAAATAGAGAAGTTTTGACTTCCCATAAGGTCATAGCAATCCTATTTTCCATTTGAGACAATCAATCAAGCTTAGACACACAAAAACCAGTCATATATCCATAATGAAAGTTTGACGACTGCACAAAAGATTAAAGAAAGCAATAGAACCTGTATTTTGATTAGAAGGCATTGGAACCACACGATATAATTACTGACAATTTCACTGTTTTGGTTGGAATGACAACGTGTGACTGTTGACTCAAGCACAAACTGCGTTGATGGCAACGTACTGAGATAATACACTTTGCAAATAAAGAGGTATTATAATTACACGTTTTCCATACACCTTGAATTTTTTCAATATTGACACAGATGGAAAGATAATAAAAAGACAAGCTAGGCTGTTAAGTGCAGTTTGAAGTATATAAGACTTAATAAAATATAATAATCATTCAGAATAAAAGCTGTTTAAGGACCTTCAACTTATAATTTCACTAGCTTTGAAACCAAGAATTCAAGAGAAAGAAAAAACAAATCATACCGTCCCTGCCGTGTCCAGGATTTCTAACATACATTGCTGGTTATCTGTTTCAACTTGCTGTAATACACAAAAGTAGACAGTGAAAATATATTATAAACAATATTACTTGAAAAGATCATCAGTACTAAATTTCTCGGACAGAAACCACTTCTTCCTTGCACAGCTAAGAATAGTTATGTTTGAAATAGGTCTACTGGTAGAAAAATCTTGATACAATACCCCGGAAAAGACAAACTCGACAGAAATAATGATAATTTTCACTATCCAAACAACCATACCATAAGTTCATGGTATCATATCGTAACTAAGAAGGTTCTGTACCATGATGTTCATATAAACAGGCTGTTCATATATACAGATGTACATTAAATATACCCTCGATTACATAGGTAATATATTTAATCAATTTCTTTGCTTCCACAAACCATTTTTTAACATATATACGATAACTGTAACTATATAAAATCAATAAATAATAAGGTATACGCCCATCAACATACATTCTGAAATAAGCCTGAACATGACTACAGCCAAATTAGTTATGTAGTTGTAAAGACTTAAATTTTGTGAACATTGGTTAAAGCACAATTCAACATTTGAGTATTTTAAATTACAGACATATTCTTACTGTGTGCATTAATGTTTTTTCATTAATCAATGGTCATCAATTACTGATAATGCTATTAATATCAAGCCACTAATTAAAAAAAATCAATGGAAAAGCAAACCTTTCTATAGCTGTCTTCTATTGTAGGATCATATTTTTCAACAAATATTCCTTGTACGAATTGCACTGTCTGTGAAAAACAACTCAATTATTGAATGCTCGGCATGAGGAAACTTGACAAAATTTATTGAATAGCCACAAAACATTACGCAGATAGATACCATTTGGGAATGATTAACAAACTTTTTCACATTTCAAGAATCGCCCACATTTAAATTTCATTGATATGTTTCAGATCCAAAAAATTGGCCGAGCAAGAATTTCTTTATATATGTCTTGTCTTGAGTCTTGACTAACCAAAATATATATATTCAAATAAATACTGACTTAATTATGAAAAATGAAATAAATTTTGAGAGTTCTATCAATTTAAATACCATAATTTTAATCCATTGTCAAGGACTACAGAAGGAATTCAGGCTAACACTTACCAATGCACTTTTCCCAACACCTCCAGAACCGAGCACAACCAACTTGTACTCTCGCATCCTTCCAGTTGGTGTGATCTACCTAAAAGAATTTGAAAAATTTACTTAATAATAATAATAACAGCTTATGATAACTAGTGGAAGCATTCTTTTCATTAGTAAAAAAAAACATTTAAAGAAGATTAATATGTCTGCCGTTCATTGAACAAAAGAACAGGATGAATTATCTGATTTTGAATTAGACTGAGGTCTGAGATGACAATTAGTCACGCTTTGGTTCAGCCAAATATTTGAAACATTTAGATACGAATAGAATACTTGAAAATTTACAAGGATAGGCAGACATACACCACACAAATATAAATTTATGTAATAACACAATTACGATTTATTTTTATAACAAAGCAATATAGAACAGGGCTACTAGGATGCAGAACTCAGTGGATTAGAATTTATCATTAGCCAACATAAATCGGTACGCCCATAGTATGCGAACGAAGTTAGGGTTAGGCCATAATTTTCTTTCAATTTTCCTTATTTTACATCTATTACAAGTACAGGGACTGTTTTTGTTAGCCAAGTGAATATACTGCCTGCCCATAGGCTTCAGTCCCTTTACACAACTTGATTCATCAAGACTATATTCAAGAAGATTAAATTATTACACTTGGTAGAATTCAGAAAAGATGGACTGCGGTAGCAAGTATTTATTTTTCCATAGAAAAAAATTCTGCTCGGGGTCAACATAGCTATCTCAAACTTGGCTTCATATCCAATTTCAACTTAGATGAATTCGGTTTTTTGACTGAGAATTATGAACAAAATTTCAACAGAACGTAAATTTATAATGAGTTGGACAAAAAAAATGTATCGAAAAAGCTTACCTTACACAGTGCAGCAAGTGGGCAACAGAAAACACAATTTCCACAAGAAGTTTTATATCCACCAAGTACAAATATACCAAGATATTTTATATAATGCTCTACTTGAGTACTTATACAACTTGAAACCTGAATCTTTTATAAGAAATAAATATTTCATTAGAAAATGAATAAGGAAGAAAACACAAGAAATAATTTCTGAGTATCAGAATAAGGTTCACATCCTCACAGGAATACTATCAAATAAAATAACTATTAGTCTACAAATCTCAGATGATAAGACAGTAACTTTTTAAACCAAAATATATTAATTCTGTGATAAGCCAATACGCCAGTTTTTAAAAATGAAAACGATATCTCTGAAAATTGTACCAGTATTCAGTAAGAGAATTCTATAATTTGTTGTTTGAGTGTGAATGTATGGATGGCAATTGGTAACCACATAAAAGTTTTTTAAAATGAAATTTCTTGTTTCAGCATTACTGTATTTTATTTACCGTAATTGTTTTAAGCCTTTTGCAAATCTAAGAAAAAGGTGAAAAAACCACTGCCTCCCAGGTTAATAAATAGAATGAGGCAATGAAACAAGAATAACAGTGGGCCAAATATTTGTATTTCTGTATCCCAAATTATGTACTTTGACCTTTTGGGGATGGAGGGCCACATAATATTCCATTTCATACTGACCATAGCATACCAGTATAACTTATAATTACAGGAACACAATAACAACACATGTCTGAAAATCACTGTAGCATGTTGTCTCAACAATACTGTGAAGTGCCTAGAATGACGCCGGGTCATGGTTTTGTCGTGATAAGAACCCTTGAATTGCAAACAGGCAAGAATTGCCACATTACACTCTCTCTACAGGAAAAAGTGATTCCGAGCATTAGATGATTAACATCCAGTAGTCGCCACATTTTTCAAAAAGGAAACATTAGAATGGAATTTGAATGTTCGTTTTAGTTCAGAATAACTTAACCTAGTATTTCCACTTTCTGGTCTATGAAACATTTTTTTTAAATTATCTCTCCGACTGAAGATAACTTGGAATAACCACAATTATGTAATGCATCATCATAAAATAAAACCCATGTTTTCATTACTGTAATAATGACTCACATCTCAACATTTATGCTATTGGATCATTAAAATACATTTATTTTCTTTACAATTTTACATGCTTTTGTACAGGGTGATCAGACCAAGTGTAGACAAATGTTTATTAAAATATCTACAATATGAATGTGAGAGAGAAAAAAATATTTTGCAGAAAATAGCATAATAATAAAAATAATAGAATTTATTGTTATTTTCCGAAATATCCTTCCTTTGCCTTCACACATCGATCTGATTAGAACTTGACTACACGAGGCACGTATGGCTTCTTCTAAAATTTTGTCCAAACAAGTTATCAATCTATGCCTTAGAGCAGTTGTTCTCAATCTGAGTTACGCACACCACTACTGATACACAGGACCTCTTCGAGTGGTTCAAAAGCAGCTTTGAATTATTGCAACAATCAACTTTTGTATTCGCTAAACGGCGTTTATAGCGCTACCAGTTCTTGTCTTTTATTGCTCTCGCCAGTAACTCTCCACTTAAAACAAAACGGGCATGTTTTTGCCATTTTGCGCATTACTCCACAATACATCTTATCCTCGGACAAATACACTTTGATCAGTGTAAGCCGCTATCACGAACGCTCCCTTATTTGCTGATTTATTAATGTAGATTTATATTATAGATATTTTATTAAACATTTGTCTACACTTGGTCTGATAACCCTGTATTTGGCATCATGTACCAAAGTTAGTGTATGATTTATACGACATAGACTAGGAGTTGGCAAACTTATGTACTACTGGGCCAAATATGAACATTTCGGGTGACCTACGGGCCACATTAATTTCAGATTATGAACAATCACCTTATTGAACCTTTGAATGATGGCTGTACTGAAGTATATTCGGCCGTTTCTCAGCAATAAAATTAGCTGGTCACTTTGTTGACGATATCAGCAGTACATAAGTGCAATGCTGGTTTGGCACATCAAGCAAATAGGATTTGACTAATGCTTAATAACGAAATGTTTTGCTGTCTAAGCTCTTTGAAATGGTTGTGAACGCAAGTTAACAACATACCGGTACCAATAACACAATTGTGCCTTTCAACTTTTTCACGCATTGAAAATGAGGTCGTCAGAAGGCCACAAATTTTTTTTTGCTTTTGGCCCATGGCCTGCAGTTTGCCAATCGCTTCCCTAGACGCTTTGATCAATTCCAATCTGATCAACCCAAATCTTTCTCCAACCTATCTCCATGATCCCAACTCCCAGCTTGTACATCCTATTATTATTGAGAGGCACATATTACTGTATTACAGTATCTATATACAGCTCAAAGTTTTATTGGGTTTATTACTTATTATTATTACTTTATTGGGTTTATTACTTATCGATCTTGATCGGTAAGTATGTTGATAGGTATTTGTTTGTTTGTTTCTCTGTTAGATACAATCACGCTATTTCACGAAAGTGAGGTTGAATCTGTTCCAAATTTTGCATGTGCATTCATCATATTTCGGACCAGAAGCCTATTGATTTTGGATGAATTATGTTGTATAATTAGCGAGGTATTAATTGATTAATTAGTGATGGGACACGCAATGTCACTATGGAGTCAAAGCGAATGAATCGAAACCTCAGTTTCTGTTTTGGGGGATCCACTAACTTTCGATCGATAAGTCTTTGGTCTCTGACAGATATTCTCGTTATTGGGTCTTACTACTTACTGAATACAGCGTGAAACACCGCAAAGAGCGCGAAACAGTGCAAAATAGCGCGAAACAGCGCAAAAGAGAGGAAAACAGCGCAAAAGAGAGGGGAACAGCGCGAAACAGAAGGAAACCAGTGCAAAACAGAGGGAAACAGCGCAAAACAGGAGACGCAGTCATTACCACCTCCTGCCACGAAAGAACCACGGCGCCTCTCGCCATGGTTTTATGGCGCTATTTCCGGTATATTTACAAGGTTATGTACCGGATTATAGGTCATCATGCGAAATTTTATCTACCTTTTTGGTGCTCCAGAAGTATGTGCAGCAATATGTCGCACAACCTGAATCCGATACACACACACACATACTATTTTCAGGTTGTGCGCCATCTTGGTGCACATACTTCTGGAGGTCCCATTTTACCTAACCCTAACCCTAAAGCCAACCATATCCATATGGAAAATGTTCTAAATTATGGTACCCAAAATGTGTCACCAGCAGGGGCAGACCTGCCATTACAGCATTACTGGCTACATACGTTGGTTTGTGTTTTTAATTTGCTGCCGTGGTACTCCAACTCAAAACAAGGTGTCCCGAACTCATTGCAAAAATTTTTTCTGCTTAACACTGTTTCCCTCTGTTTTGCGCTCTTTCGCGCTGTTTCCACAGTGTTTTGCGCTGTTTCCCTCTGTTTTGCGCTGTATTCAGTAAGTAGTAAGACCGCTCGTTATTATATGTTGTGTGGACTAATTTTTGTAACTTTATATCTCTAGCATTGAATCCAGATCATACCTGGAACAAACAGTTCTGACAATTGGTTAACTAATCCCATACACAATTTGATCTATATTCTGATGGGAATCTGACATATGATTTAGCAGTGGCTAATAGATCTGTAGATGGATAATGCAGAATTCAAAATAACCGTCCGGCTGCTGTCTGGTTGCTGGGTTGTGGTATGTTTAGTGGCAAAAACTAGTGTCAACTTGTCTATAATTAAAAATACCATGATAGTCCATTGTAAAAACAGTACATTTTACAGTTGAATAATTTATCAATATCAATTTTTACATTATTTACAAAAACAGTATTACAGCAACAGCAAACTGCAGAGCGTTGTGATATTTGCTGTGTTTTCACTAACTCCGTAACTGCAGAACTGACCTAGCAGTGCATCAGTCAGTCAGTAAGACCAAGTTGGCACATTAGTGAAAGTCTGAATGCAGGAATGTACATTCCAGCATTCTGACATTACAACGAATGGCTTACAGAACTGCAGAAGTTCACTGAAGTTTCAGACTACAAGTGAAGTATTTCATTGAAATGGAACATAAGAACAGAACAACGACTAACAAAAGCATATTAAGCAAAGAAATGGGTAGATAGATAAGTATTTTGAAAACTCCTTAATACACGCAAATTCAACTGATTTCAGGATTTATACATTTTTTGTAAAACGAATCAATTCTGCGTCTGATACCAGAATGCATTTATGATACCAGATGTTAAAAATAAAGAATCATGTTGCCTCTTTTCTGTTGGAACTTTTAAGCTTCCGAGCTTGCTCTAATTTTACTGTTTTACAGTTTTATGATTGTCTGATTGTGATACTGTGATAACGAAATCATGAATAATAATATAAAATACTTCACTTTCATTGTAATACCAAAATAAGTTATCCATATCGCTGTATCGTGGATCCAAATATCTGTTCCTAAATGTCTGTACACCGCTACTGCCGCTAACCAAATTACTTCCACTAAATAGGCCTACAGAAATCTGGAAATGTAATGAAATTACTGAATTAATGTTAATTTAAACGTTTTAGGCTATGTAATAATTATACATTATTTTATAGCATCGTGTAGTTTAAAATAAATTATCTATCTTTAGATCTTCCGAGCAAAACTGGTAAATACCTGAATAATGAAATTTGGAGATTCTGAAACAGGCACTGGTACCGGTAACCTGGTACTAACGTAATTTAAACTGCCAACGGAACTGTTTTCACTCATTTTACCAGTATATTAGGTCTTTCATGATCTGAAAATTCTCAATTTAACAAAATTAATATAAGATTAGTAGGACAGAATACAGGAATATCTCGCCTGGAAATCAAGCAGATACGCGCCAAATATCAAGAGCAACAAAAAAGCGTTGCCATCGACAGAATGATGGGCGTTCAGGGTGAGGCCGCTGTCGTCACGGTTAACATTTCTGGCGTATAAATTATGACGTCATCGATAAAAATCTGCGAAGGATTCAACAAAAGAGGATAAGATAATATTTTCAAATTTTTTTTAATTAGTAATTAGGGGGGGAAAAGAGATTTGACAACCTGATCAAATTGTAAACCAACCCCTATCGATTGATTGAAA